TGAAACTGTAAGCAAGGGAAAATGGAGGCGATTGTTAGCGCACTGCACCGTATTGATCATAATCTTCGCGGAGTGGCGACAATGTGAAAGGGTCGGCGGACCGTAGGGACAATGATAGTGGTGGCAGTCGTTAACATGATGACAACGGGACCTCGCATCTCTCATCACTCATCTTTGTGCTTCAAGTTTTGACCAATGTTAACAGCCACGTGTTAATGTGAGTCTGTTTTTTAATCATGAGGATGCTTTTATGATATTACGCAACTTTCTTGGCAATTGTCCGTGTGCTGAGAAGGAAGAGTGAGATTATGAGGGTAGTGAGAAGGAAAGTTGGGGGTATGCAGATCGAGACACCTATAAAAGAAATGGTAAAGCGTTGTGCACGTCTAGTGTGGAAGAAATGTCCGATTATGGGCGAGATTCTCCACAACCACCGGCAGTTTGCGTCGATTCGTGTGTCCAGTTGTCCATGTGCAAGATTGTCCCTTCCCAAAAGGAATGGGCACGTTCACCTCCGAATAGGCGACCTTAATGGCGTACCTCAGATAGCTTGCAACGTGAAGAATGTACCTCGATGTGACCACGATCAGCGAGATCGATTGTCGAGTAAGGAGTTGACCGAAGTTTTTGCGACTTGGAAATGCACTTCGAGATTCACTACGGAGGTTTATACAGTATCATCTATGGATGTTCGAGGTTATTTTGTAGAGAGCGACGACCCTTGTCTGGACAATGGTCTGAAAGAGATACTAGTTTTAAAAAATCCTTTGGCTAGGCTTGTTCTTGGCCCATTGGATCGAAACTCTGAAGACACTCTGATTTTATGTCCTCGTTTGTATGATAATGGCATGGAAGAGACTTTTCTTACTAGTGATGGTTACAGGATCTACGAAGAAAGTGAATGTGATGTGCTAGCAAGTGCCAAGGTAGAGTCGTAGCTCGATGATTTACGAAGCATGGGAAGTGAGATTCGAAAGGAGAATTTGGACAGACCTACGCTTTGCCGAAACATAAGGATACCCAGAAGTATCGGTCAATTTGTCCCACCTTTCGCGAGTCGTCTGTTAAAACTTGTAAGATGGTTGCAAAAGGAATTAACTGTCTTTTGTTTTCACTGCCAGAGTCAGGGCATCTGAACTTAACGGCAGTATCAGGGATGAAGGCGAAACTGAGAACTATCAACGACCGTTCGGGTAGGAGCAGAAAGAATGTGGGTATCGTAGGTGCTTTCTTTGATATCAAAGACATGTTTAGTCGCCTTCCTCATGAGACGATCTTGTCCACGATCGAATGGGTAATCTGGTGGTTCTCCCATAAAGGTTTCGATGGCGTGTTTGTTCAACGAAGAGGGAAGGTTACCCGACTGAGTAAGAGTCAACATACGGATGGTTTTACGTTTATTTCTTCCAAAAAGTTGTTTGAGTTCGTTGCGTTTGAACTTGTGTTTTGTTTTACCAAGGCATGTGGAATTCTGATTAAGCAAGTCATCGACATTCCGATGGGGAAGAGCTCGAGCCCTCCCCTAGAGTGCCTTATGTGTGCTAAGCACGAATGAGACTCCATTATCTCACTAGGAAGTCATAAGAGAATCTTTGTTGGTGTGCGTTTCGTGGATGATGTGTCCGTCTTTGCTGCATATAACCGTAATAGGGTCGGGGATAAGGAGAAGGCAACTGGCCTTTTGAAACGATTCGAGATGTGCTATGATGAGGCACTAACACTAAAATGGATCAACGAGCGAAAAAACTCTTGAAACTTTTTGGGATATAAACTCACTATCAGTCAAGAATTCCCTTTCTTGGCACTGCAACTGAGGAAGAAAGAGTTTCTACCTTTTCGTACTTTCTAAGATTTCGAGTCTTCAAATTGTAAGCAAGGGAAGATGACGGCGATTGTTAGCGCACTTCACCGTATTGATCAGAACCTTCACCAAGTGGCGACGACGCGAAAGGGTCGGCGGATCGTAGAGACAATGATAGTGATGGCAGTCGTTAACATGACGACAAGGGGACCTCGCATCTCTCATCATTCATCTCTGTGGTTCAAACTTTGACCACTGTTAACAGCAACGTGTTAACGTGAGTCTGATTTTTAATCATTAGGATGCGTTGATGATATTACACAGTTTTCTTGGCAATTGCCCGTGTGTTGTACTGCTTGTTTGACCGACAGTTTGTGAATTCCTGCTTTTATAGGGGAGGTGCTGCCCAAATTTTTGTTAAATCAGGAAGTTCGATAAAAATTGACTTTGTGAAGTCGGAGACGATAATTTCACGGGGATTTTTTTTTTCTTCATTGTTTTATGGAAATGTCACTGACCTAATTTATGGACCCTCAAAGTTTTAGAATTGTTTGTGATTTGTTTCGAGCACGAAAAATAACCAAAGTTGCCGTATTGTTTCTGTTAACCGACATATGATGGAGTGATAAAAACGAAAAGAAAATGCACTGGATCGGCTCGACAACAATCTCACATGCAATATATATATACATGGTTACCAGCCCGTACGTACGGAGGTTCTCGGACCGATCTCCGTACGTACGGGTGTTCGGGGTCCCGTTCTGGGTCCGAACTTGAAGGCGTTCAACCCCAGCCAAAAATAACTTCGGGGCTAGGCTACCAGAGTGACCCGGGGTTACTTGCACGACCGGGCCAAATATATATATATATATATATATATATATATATATATATATATATATATATATATATACAGGGTCACCAGCCCATACGTACGGAGGTCCCCGGGCAGACCTCCGTACGTACGGGCGTTYGGGGTCCCGTACGGGGTCCCACCCCGATGGCGTTAGGCCCCCGCCAAAAAATATTTCGGGGATTAAAAATAATTATTTGTTTCTTAATTTGTTTTCGTGAGTTCTTTATGACGTGAGGTACATGCCTGTAAAGTTTCGAGTCATTTAGCTAAGCCCAATAAGAATTAAAAATCGCCAAAGATAGCGGTGTCAAAATGTGCTCGCCCACGTATTTTTTCACTTTTTACTTTTTGTCTTCACTTTAGTTCGGGGTCTAAACAATTTTATTATTTTTTGAAACTTTTTTAGTGGGTTTTGTATTATGTGAAGTACACATCTGTAAATTTTCAGTGGTGGTTCTCCCAAGGGGTCCTCAGTGAAAACAAATATTGATTTTTCATTTTTTTTTGGCACAGCTAAATGCCCCGAACTAAAGTGAAAACAAAAAGTAAAAAGTGATAAAAATACGTGGGCGAGCACGTTTTGACACCACAATTTTTGGCGATTTTTAATTCTTATTTGGCTTAGCCAAATGACTTGAAAATTTATAGGCATGTACCTCACGCCATAGAGAACTCACAAAAAAAAAGTTTTAGAAAAAAATAATTATTTTTACGCCCCGAAATAATTTTTGGCGGGGGCCGAACGCCGTCGGGTTTGGACCCCGTACGGGACCCCGAACGCTCGTACGTACGGAGGTCTGCCCGGGGACCTCCGTACGTACGGGCTGGTGAGTACTTTAGTGCTGGCCCACGTTTTTTTTGACTTTTTACTTTTTGTTTTCACTTCAGTTCGAGGTCTAAACAATTTTATTATTTTTTGAAACTTTTTTAGTGGGTTTTGTATTATGTGAAGTACACATCTATGCCAGAAAAAAAAAATGAAAAATCGCCAAAGATGGCGGTGTCGAAAACGTGCTTGCGCACTCACTATTTTTATTTTTTATTTATTTTTTATTAGTATTTGTTTTTCGTATTTTATTTTTATTTCAAATTTGGTAAGCATGCTTAGACAAATCTTGTTTAATTATTTTTCTTCATAAAATGTTTTTTTTTCATATTTGTTTGATTTTTTTTTTTTTTTTTTTTTTTTGGGTCCGTGTTCGACTCGAACAGCCGAACGCATCCGCAAGGGGTCCCATACGTTCGGGCGTTTGGGTTTGGGCGTTTGGCCCATCCCGAACGCCGGTTACCCTGTATATATATAAATCAAACAGAGCTGCCCTATAACTATATATATATATATATCATCGGTTTTTTTTTTTTCCCCCTAACATTTTACCTAGACAGACCCTAAAAATTTTAGAATTTTCTGTGAATTCTTATGAGCAGGAAAAATCACCAAACTTGCCCCTTTGAAATAGCCGGACTAGGCCCGCTGGTTGGTAGCGGTCGCTGCCCCACCCCCCTCAAAAACCTGCCCGAACTCACAGGGAGGGAAATTTCCAGGAGGCGGGTAGACCGGTGGCCCATACATCGGCTGTGGCTCCCTCATCATGACCTTCCGAGGCCGTAAACGTGACAATGGTCATTGATGAGACAATGGTCATTGATGAGAGTTTTCAATGGCAGCCCAGCCCCGAAAGTGCGGCGCAGCGGATGCATGGGCGAAGTACTGGTGGTTTTTAAAAACAACAAGGTCAAAAACCAGGGAAAATTTGTTGCCTGCGCAACAAAACGCTGTGAACATAGGAGTGGTAGGTAGGTAGTAAGGGTCAGATCCCATTACCCTGGATTATTCATTTTTCACCCTCGATTACTAAGATCGACGGTCAGAAATGAACAATAGGGACTAGTGGGATCTGGCCCTTAGAAGTTGAATTCCAGAGAAGAACACAGCACGAAATCCGTTAGGCTAGAGCCCGACAGGTGAGGAGCTCGAACGACGCGCGGATACAATGTGTTTGGGAAAAAAAAAAAAAGGGGGAAATGTGCCACCTTGGCAGGAAAAAAAGGGGTGAAAAAAAAAAGAAAAAAGGGGCGGCCCCTTGGCGGTCAAGCAAAGAGCAGGGAAATCCCGTTAGAGCTCTGGTGACCGACGGGATCCCAGGGTTGGTTGTCCCGCGGGTAGGTTGGCACGGGTGGGCTCAGGCTACCGGTAGGCGGGGCCTGTCCCACAGCGGCAGGTCGGGGGCCGGCGGCAAGCGCGCGGGCCCCGCCTCGCGCTTGCCGCCCACGCCGACGCGCGGATTGTCTGGTCGGCGTTGTGCCGGCTTCGCGGTGCCATAGCCGGCGGGGTGGCACGTAGAACGAAGCCATCCATCCATGTTCCTGCTGCCCTCCTCTCCTCTCTTCTCTTCTCCTCTCCTCTCCTCACTCCATCCGTTTCCCGGCGGAGAACTTGTCCTTGCTTGCTGAACAAAACGGACGAAGTCGCAGCCATAGCCATCATAGCCATCATAGGCATAGCCATAGCGGCCTCCATAGCGCGAGATACACGTGGAGGAAGGAGGAGGAGGAGGTATGCGACGACGACGGCGACGACGACGAATACGACGGTAGTCGGTTCCTTCCTTAGAGCGTCGAACTCGCTACGTAAGCGCCAGCACTCCAGCCAATCAGACAAAGTCGCGCTGTCCTTACGAAACGACATTATTAGCAGATGCCATTCTCGCGCTGCCCGACGTCTCAAACGGCCACGTTTCGGTCAGTGGTCGGCTTTCCGTTCCCTTTCTCCCGCCTCCATCATCACCTCCCCCTGTCCTGTCGTTTCTTCGTGCCACGTGTCTCCTCCCACCTCCGTGTCCGCGTCGTCCGCTCTGGCATGTGCGCGCGCGCGCGCGCGTTTGTGTGTGTGTGTGTGTGTGTGGGGTGTGTGTGTGTGTGTGTGTGTGTGTGTGTGTGTGTGTGTGTGTGTGTGAGAGAGAGAGAGAGAGAGAGAGAGAGAG